TGTCTCTCCAGCAAACAGAAACTAAAAATAAATAAATGAAAATAAAAACACAAGCTTTATTTCACAACACAAGCTCCAACAATTTTTGCGTTTTTAGGTTTTTGCCGTAGGGTGCATGTACTCACCAGGAGAGACGGAGGGAGGAAGTGAGAAATCAGCCCTGGGGGGTGGCTACGCTGCAGGCTCCTTTCCTCCATTCTCCTCTCCTCTCGGCATTTCGGGCACGCACACCTGGCATGATTTTCAGGCTGTCAGGCCTGGGACTCAAACCACTATCGACCACGAGGAAGTCCTGCACCTTCGCCGCTGCACGGCCCGCAGGCCTGGCCCCATCACTTCAGACACTTCTGTGAGTGACGGTACTGGTCATTAGTCCAGTCGGAAAGAGCCGGAGTCCTGGGAATCTGATCCTATCAATGGAATAAGTAAAAATGTGAAAAACATTAACTGAAAAAAATTAGTACCTTTAAAATGTTGGGAAGGGGGTCCAGCAAATGGCGTAGCAGTTATGTCACTGAACTCTGACGTAGCTGACAACAGTTCAAGTCCCAGACCTGGTCGCTTAAAACTCATGCTGGGCAGGGACCAGCAGTTAGTGTAACGGCTATGTCTCTGGACTCCCATGTAGTTGACCGCGGTTTGAGTCCCGGACCCGGTAGCTTAAACTCATGCCGGGCGCGTGTGCGTGTGTGCCCAAGATCCCGAGAGGAGAATGGAGATGAAGGGATTATGGCATGGCCATCCCTCTTTGTGGGGGGGAGATGTTTTCTCACTTTTCCTCTCACTTTCTGGGCAAATTAAAAAATAAATAAATGAATAAATTAAATTAAAAAAAAAAAAAAAACTCACGCTGGGCACATGTGTGTGCATGCCCCAAATCCTGAGAGGATGATGAGGGAGAAGGGATTATGGCATGGCCCTCACCCCTGGAGGGTGATTTCTCACTTCCTGTCTCTCTGTCTCCGTCTCTCTGGCGAGCACATGTTCCCAATAGAAAAAAATCTCTCTTGAAAGAAATAAAACAGGGGGCTGGCAGGTGGCATGGTGGTTAGGGTGCTAGACTCCCACATGGCCAACCATAGTTCGAGTCTCAGACCTGATAGCTTCTCTCTCAGTTTCTCTCTTTGTCTCTCTCTCCCCCCTTCTCTTGTCAAATTAAAAAATGATAATAACAAATTAAATTAAATAAATATATTTTTTTTAAATAGGAAAGAAAGATAACAATAGGACCAGCAGATGGAACCATGGTTACGTTGCTGGATTCCCACGTAGTCGACTGTGGTTCAAGGCCCGGACCTGGCAGCTTGAAACTTGTGCCAGGTGCATGCACATATGTGCCCAGAGTTCTGAGAAGAGACCGGAGGGGACGGGATTGTAGCGTGGCCACCCACCCAGGAGTGATTTCTCTGTCTCTCTCTCTCTTTGATAAGTACACGTGCCCTATAGTAAAACATCTCTCTCGGGGACCAGCAGGTGGCGTGGTGGTTAAGGCGCTGGACACTCCCACATGGCTGACCAGGGTTCGAGTCCTGAATCTGGTGGCTTGCTTTCTCACTTCCTCTCTCTCTCTCACTTTCACCCTCTGTCTCTCTCTGGTCAAATTTTAAAAAATGAATGAATAAAATAAATAATAAAAAAAAAAATCTCTCAAAAAATAAAATAAAGGGCCGGCAGGTGGTGTGGTGCTAAAGGTGCTGGACTCACTGTCAGGCCTTGAACCGTGGTCGGCATATGGAGTCCAATGACGTGACCACTACACCGTCTGCCGGCCCCTCCCAGGCAATATTTTTAAAAAACGAAATAAAACTGGGACCAGCAAATGTCTATGTCACTGGACTCCCATGTAGGAGAATGGAGAAGGGATTGCGGCATGGCCATCCCCCCTGGGGGGTGATTTCTCGCTGTCTCTCTCTGTCTTTACAACGAGTGCATGTGCCCTATAGCAAATCCTCTCAAAAATAATAATTTTTTTTTTAATTTTAAGACTTCTGTAAGACTATTTTTTTTAAGATTATTTATCATTATTATTATTAATATTTTTCACATGAGTTTTGCCAGAGAAAGTCAGAGAGAGAGGGAGAGTGAGAAAGCAAGCTGCCAGGTCTGGGACTCAAACCATGGCCAGCCATGTGGGAATTCCAGCACCTTAACCACCATGCCACCTGCTGGCCCATAATAATAATTTTAAAGCCTACATATAATTCTTCAAAATGTGTATTTTTCTTGAACTTTGAAAAAATAATTTTACTTTTATTTTTTTAAATGTTGTATAGGCACATACGCACTCACCAGAGACAGAGAGAAAGTGAGAAAGCAAGCCACCAGGTCCAGGACTCTAATTGCGGTCAGTCATGTGGGAGTCCAGCACCCCAACCACCATGCCACCTGCTGGCCCTCCCCTGGAGCCTTTTAAAGCACATGTCTGTGTGCACGTATCTTTAAAATCCATGTTTTAATTTGCCAGGGGTCCGTGTGTTCATGGAGAGAGACAAGAGGAGGAAAATGAGGAAGCACCCCCATGGTCACACCACGATCCTTTCTCCATTTTTCCCTCCTGTGGGGATTTGGACACGTGTACGTGCCCAGCGTGTTTCTCAAGCCACCATGTTTGAGCCGAGGACCAGACGTGTGGGATCCAGGCACTATAACCTCCACGCACCGGCCGGTGCTCTGGCGCGTGGACTGGCTCGTGTCGCTAGCCGCGCTGTCTTCCCGCTGTGTGGACACAGTCGCTGTGCAGGCTCCCGTGCCGTCTGGGGGTTCCAGAGCCACGTGGGCATTCTCCACCGGGGAGGAGCTGCCCATTGCGTCCCACAGGGATAGCGCTCCTCTCGCCTCCAAGCACCCGTAACTGTCATGGCACTAGCCGTCATCCCGTGGGTGTCCACTGGGAATCTGTGGGGTTTGGGTTTGGTTTTTGTTCTCAGCTTTTGCCACAGGGCACGTGCACTCACTGGTGACAGAGGAGACAGAGAAAGAGAGAGCTGGGACATGAGAAACCACCCCCGGGGCACGGCCATGCCAGTCGCTTCCCTTCCAGTCTCCTCGTGGACTTTGGGCACACACGGGCCCAGCATGACTTCCGAGCTGCTGGGTCCGGGCCTCAAAGGTGCACTGGGCTGTGCAGGACGCAGAGCCTTGACCCGCACGCCACCTGCCCTGTGGGTTCAGCGTGCGTCTGCCTCAGAACAGGCCCACTCCGTCCTCTGTCCAGGTTCTAATCGGGCTCTTTTGTGGAGTTCTACAGTTCTTATATTCTGGATACTTTCATCAGACACGTTTGCACTTATGTTATTCAGATAAAGCAGTTCGGTCCATGACTTCAGTGCTCAGAGTGGCTGGGGCCCACGTGCTCTGCCTCCCCAGCCTCCCCGCCTGCCAGTTCCTCACAGCCCTGGCCCCTGGTGCAGTGGCTCGCAACCCAGGATGGGCCTTGGGAGCCGCTGGAGCCTGCGTCCAGGGTAACAGCAGCTCGCCGTGATGCAGAGCTCCTGCTCTCAGGGCCTTGCCAGCACTTAGAACTAGCTATGAACCTCGGGACCCTGCCTACCTGACTGGCACCGGCTGGTATCCAGCCTGCATGTCTGATGCCCGGTGCTTATGGCCACCCCAAAGCTAGCCTTTCAGGCATCAGCTTCTGCAAACTGCCTGCTCACGCTTCACTTCTCTACAAAATTCAAAAGTTGTTTGCCACAGGAAGACAGAGGGAAAG